CCTTTCAGTACTTAAAGGGGGCTTATAAAAAAGATGGGGATAGACTTTTTAGCAGGGCCTATAGCAATGGGACAAGGGATAATGGTTTTAAAGTAAAGAAGGGTAGATTCCAACTAGATATAAGGAAGACATTTTTTATGATGAGGGTGGTGAAACCCTGGCACAGATTGCCCAGAGAGGTGGTAGATGCCCCATCCTTGGAAACATTCAGGGCCAGGCTGGATGGGGCTCTGCGCGTGCAAAGCTAGTTGTAGATGTCCCTGCCAATTGCAGGGGGGATGGACTGGATGGCCTTTAAAGGTCCCTTCCAACCCAAACCATTCTATGATTCTATGATCTCTGCCAAAACAAGATAGATAGATAGATAGATAGATAGATAGATAGATAGATAGATAGATATAAAAAACAAGACATTGAGTCAAATTAAAATCCTTGTGTTATTGAATACAATCCAATTCCCACTGCTCTTCAGTGTTCAATGGAATGCACCTCTTTATATTTTTGCAAACTTCTGCATTTCACAAAGGAAATTAGTGATGGAAACAGCATGATTAATAGTACAGTAGTAATTATCTCTTAGGTTTATAATGTACCAAAGTAAATAAAAGCCCTGAAATAAATTCCTTACTCTACCAAAATGTATGAGGATTGCTTTTTCCACTGTTTCCTCAGGATTTTTAAATTTTACCCTTTAAGTTTACTTATGATTACAGTTTTAGCATTTCTAGTTGAGATTTGGATAGATTCTTGAATCTGGTGGAAATGCAGAAATCCAACCTTTTAGAGAACAGTAATCTTGGACTAGAAAAATGAAATCTTCGCATGGCACTTGATGTCACTGAAATATCAAGTCAAAGGAAAGAAGAGAGAGCAGGTTTTCAGTCTCTCCGCTAAACAGAGCATGTGGTGGATACAGAATAAAATTTATCAGAATTATCACAGCACACTCCAAGATGACAAATCATTATTGAGAATGTACTCTTTTGGAATGTCTTTAACCTGATTTTCTAAGGAAATAATTATGCTATGTGAGCATCCATGCCTGTCTCTCCTCAACAGTAGTAAGCCCAATAGCCAATTGCAACCAAACCTGAAAAAGTGAAGAGGAAACAAAACAGTAAGTTCCTAAAAACTTTGTGAAATGATGTGGTTCATTAAAAACAGGGACATTCTGCAATGTAACCTGAATTGTTATCGTAGGCCAGAGAACCCACAGGAGTATAAAAGAAAAAGAAATGGAGACACTTCATGCATGTCTCAACCTTGGGAAAATTCTCAGTCAGAGCTCGACCTGTTCAGATACCAAGGTCAGTCAATCTCATGATGCAAATGCACAGGGCACTAGATGTCTCTAGTCCCAGTGTTGATAGAATTTAATTTTTCTGAACAGTCTATTCCACAAAAAGTAATATAATTTTACTTTTATACAGGTACAGAATGAAAATACATGCTGAAGCATCAAAAGATTCTGTGAAAACAGCTTTACTAATCATAATTGCCCTCTTTTTCTCTAACATCTAAAGAACAGGCAAGTTTAGATGAGCCAAAAAGTACTGAGATCTGAACTCAGACGTTGAACTCGGCATGAATCCAACATGACTCATTAAGTGACCCACTGTCTGTCTTTACACTTTTTCAAGGTAACTATTGATATTGGCTGATATTCCATCAACTTCTATCAAAAACCTCTCTTCAGCATATGTCCCCAAGCACAGCGCTGTACCAAGGAGTCAATCAATTAAAACTTTCCTCTGGCTTAAAGAAGTTAGGCTAGGCTTTGTCACAGAGTCTCTTTGTCACAGTTATCTCTTACACTGACCACTGATCTACAAGTGCAAACTGGTCTCTTGATAGTGCTGGATACATTTTTCAAGTCCTGCAGTAATGAAAGACTAACATCACTGCAGTAATATCAGTCATTTTATGTAGAGCTTCCTTTTTACAGTGTCTTTAATACTCAAGCTAGAGCAAGGTAATGGCTTATTTTAAGGAATTTTTTCTAAGCGTGCATTTGGGCATTGTAGTTTATTACAAATCGCCAAGTCTTAGTTTACACCTGGATCTGCATTTTATGCCTATAAGTTAACAGAGAAACTCACATATTCTTTGAAGTAGCTGAAGGAATTAAAACCGTCTTTTTTTTTTTTTTTTTAAAGAGAAGAGAATTTGTTTGATTTTGCTTGATTGTGTAATTGTGTTACCCAAGTATGCTCTTATGAGAGTTCTAAATGAGGATCTCTTATTTAACAGTGATCCTCTTGGGCTCAGGGATTGGTGATAAATGGCTGGCACAACTGAAGAAGAGTAAAAGGATAAAAGCATGCCACTAAGGAAGGGGCTGGCAGAGGTGTTCTTACAACTTCCTTAACTCCTGGAACAGCACTGATCACAGCTTTAAGGTGGATCTGCCTCAAATTCACTGTCTCTGTGAGCTCTCACTGAAGCCTTTTAAGCTCAAAACCCCAAGTCGTGTTAAACTGTAAACTAGGACCCAACATTTTAAATAGAAACAACTGAACAACATTATATCAAAGAGCAAAAACGAAAAACCTTTCTACACAAGCCCACTGCATCCTTGCAGTCATTTCTTGGTACACCAGTTGGGTCTCAGGCAGCTTGGTGATGCTTAGCAAGCTCTGCACTGTCCATGCCCACAGTCCCTTAGCAGGGTTTCCTTTTGGCATTTTTGAGACCCTGCTGATCTGTTCCTCAGCTCCACATGGGATGCATTCTGCCAACATGCACACAGCGGTCCTATGTTACCCTAAGGGATGGAGCCACCTCTTCATCCTGGGGCAGGGGTCATGCCTAAGCCAGTAACTCTCTTCAGGAATACATCCCACAAATTCATGTCACCTGTGAATGAAGGTGACCTCTTACAATTAACTTAATGGTGTCCTTGCCGAGTCTATAGAGACTGGGAGATGTTCTGAAGTAATCAATCCTTTACCACCTTCCCTTTCATTCTGCTATAAAAAAAAAGAAAAAAGAAAAGAGTACAAAAGCCCTAATACCCTAATATACCTTCAGCCAATTTATCTTTTACGTTGTAAAATCCTTTAAATTATATTGACTATTTCAAAATGTGGATAAATGTCATGAAGAAAATATTTGATGGTCTTGGGATGCAGAATTCTGTAACCTGGATAACTAGACTTAAAATTGAAAGTTTATTACCAACTCTTTGATATGGGCAAACTACATTTTTATCTCTCAACAGCAGCAATGTTAATACATTTTGCAGCTTTGCCATTAAATAGAGAGAGATGATTTTCCATCTAATTTCTAAAAGCAGTTTTGTGGAAGAAAATGGGTAATCAACATGGAGAATGTCTGTCTTCTGAAAATGCTTTTAGTCTAACATAAATGACAGCTATTTAAAGGCAATCACTTGTGTTTTATATCTCATACAAAAACCAGCAGACACAGTACCCTGCCGTTGAGACAAAACACTGATACATGTGACAGAACATTTCAAGCAGTAATAATCAAAAGCCACAGATTCAGCCACATCCAGAAAAGAACTGAAATATCCTCCATTAAAGTCTGTAGCTTTTTTTGCTATTGTTGATCAGTCTTTAACTGATATTATGTGGTATTATATTATGAATAACTAATTATCTGCATCAGGCAGGTACAGGAGATGCAAATCACATTCACTCTGCACTATGTACACTGATAACTTACACATCTATTAAAAATAAAGTGGTTTTCAAAATATCACCCAGGAGGCATGTGTTCTGTTCAGTGACCTTTGGAAACTCTGGTCCAATGAATAACTAGTGATGCGCAAATAAGTTGAGAGACAGTAGATAAAAAGTGCCTATAACCTTATATGTTATCTGTTACAAGGATGGCTATGGTAAAAAGATATATTGCTCTTTCATAATTTGCCTGACAGAGCAAATCAATGAGAACATATACTTGTATCCCTTTAAGTTGAATGGTTATGAAATTCATTATCCTGGACAATTAAAAATATAACATGCAGAAAAAGTGCAATGAATTGTATAATCTAAGTATCTAATTTAATGGTAGTTTGCTACCTTACAGGGATTTGTTCATATAGCATCAGTCACAACTTTGGCAAATCTGGCCTTGCATTCAAACATTTTATGTAGCAAGAAGTCTAACTGTGTTTGCTTTAAGATGATAAAACTTCATATTACCAGAATGTTGGTAGAATATTGAAGGAATTCAGCAATGACAATCTTGCCTCCATTAGCAATCTTCGTAAGGCCTATGATACATGACAAAGCTTAGACTTTCTTTCTCACAAAATATGCGGCCCATCTGGTCTTGATCTTGTGGCAAAGAAAGTCCACAGTCTAAAAAAAGCAGTTACATAACCAAAAGGCAAGGAAAACCCACCAAACCCAGGAAGATATGATGCAGCACAAATTTTTAAATATCTCTCTTTGTTTTGGTGCTACTTTTAAACCACACTACCAACAAAGCCTTCACTGCCAGCCCTGATTATAGCTCATGCAATTCAGACTTGCATAAACATATCCTTTACACTGAGGTATGTTCCACAGCTTTTATATAGTCGCTTGAACATTAAAAACACTTTTGCAATTTTTCTTTTATAGTATAAGACTACATGTCTTCTATTGTCATGCACATATGCAAAGAAATCAAGGAGGTTAAAAGAGAAAAGATTCCACAATTCCAGTTCACAAGTTAAAAGGGAGTTACCAAGTCACACAGGCTCTTCCCAACAGTCAAACGCCTAGCCGAGCACTGACATAGTTACGGGGAAGAAAAGCATTCTGGATACTAATCTGCAAGTAGCTACACCCGAAACTTCTTAAAAACATGAAGGGCTTATCCTGTTGTATCACTCACATTTTCATTTCACATTTTAGAATAAAGAGTGGACATCTTTATTCAAAAGATAACTAATTCTATTCTTAACTAATTTTAATTTCGTAAGTAAGTGCATTATTTTTATTACAGATTATATTTTTTCCTATAAGAGAAGAATAAATTACACTTACCCTCTCCAAAGTAATTTCTTCAAATTCATATTCAATTTCTGTTCCATTGACCTAAAGACAATAAAATCAGAAAATTACTTAAATGCAAATGGAAGGTAATTTGGTAGGGATACTGTACAGATATTCCAGTATGATCAGTTTACTGAAGCACATTTTTCAACACATAGGTGAGGCTGTCTAAATTATAGCTTACTTAGCTCCCCTTTGTCTTGAATGGCATGTAATTAAGCCTATAAACTTGAAAACAGTATGAGTTCAGTATGAAAAACACTGAAATAATGGATAACTAAGTCACGTAATACAACTGATATTTGAAACAGTATGTTTGTGGACTTTGTGCAAATGTTTAAATAGTTTCCAAGGTAATAGTTTCATGTCAAAAGTAAAAGACCTGCTTCTAAAAATTATTCTCACAAATGGATGAAAGATTAATTATTCATTACTTTACGAGCTCCAATTTACTTTGCAATACTAAAGCAGACAGGAAATTCATAGTACTTATGTAAAAATCACTCACTGATAGATATACTGAAATACATCTTGTTTACTATATTAACCTAGGGCAAGAACATGACAGAGGACCTTTGCAATAGACAGCTGAATGGCAAAAAGGCACAGAATGTTAATGCAATTCTTACGCTGAGTTTCAGTGTCAAAATAAATTAAGCTACAAAATGTAGAGCACCAAAATGGATTGCACTGGACAAGAAATCTATCAGCTGAGGACATGACACTGATTTAAGCAGTATTCTGAAACCTTGTTCCAGTCTGACATGGATTTTTTCTTTCCCTCTAGGCAACTCACTTAACAGCCCTTTCTTAGTTTTCTCATTTCTTAAATGGGTAAAGTACTGCATCTGAGAAAGCTACAAAAGCTGACTATATTGTAAGTAAACTGCAGACTAATGAAAATACTTCTATTATTAAAATCTCAGAAGAATTTCAGTGTCCCTTAGCTACAGCTAGTCAGCAATTTTTTGATTTGGCCAGAAAATATTGATTAATCAAAAACAATGGATATTGCCCATGAATCATGCCATTTTAGTTTTTGTGATGATAGGATATTTCCTGGAAAATAGCGTTATTTTAGTGTTTTACTTAATTTATACTTAATGAAAAAAAAATATATTGTAAGAGCAAAACTGAAGTGAAGCATTAGGATTGACCTAATCTTGGAGGAGCAAATTTATTTCTCAGAACAAGAACATTTGTTACTCCTCCCCACTCCCAGCTGCTAATTTTCTATATTAGCTTTCTAACTGCAATCAGAAAACACTGTACACAAATCATTCTTTATCTAGTCAAGCACCTTTCAAATGTAATTAGGTACTTCTCTTGTGAATATTATAACTAGGTACATGTATCTACCAAACAAAAGCTTCCTATAAAAGCCACCAACTATTTAATTTGTCTGCAATTCTAGATCTGATAAACCATGAAATCAGTCATAGAAATACAATCTGTGTTCAAAAGGAAACAGGGAGAGGGAGAAAAGTCCAGACAAATAAGCCATGCTTAACAATGAAATGAAAACACAGTATCAATGAATAAGATATTTAATACATATATAATATTTGTATTTTTTACATTATTACAATCTGGTAATCACATTACACTACACTAAAGCCAGATATGAACAAAAATTTTACTATAGGATATTTTCCAGTTCTATGCTATCACTTTAATGTTTTCTGCATATTCTTTTATTAATATAGGCAACTTACTAGGTATGAACAGCTTTATAGCTATTCCATTTTTTGTCCTTTCTTGTCTAATGATAATGAAATCAAAGCTATTTATATGTCTCTGTTTTCATGAACTTCTCTTTTATCTTAGGTTGGTGGATAGCTCTGATCTATGTCTTCAATTCCTCAGTCTTGCTCTATAAAGCTGTCTTTGCTTCACTGCTTATAATCACTTTTCCTTTGCATTAAAAACTCGTTAGTGCAGCAAAATGGGAAAAAGAGGGACATGAGAAGTGAGCAACCTCTGTATGAAGATGAAAGGAGAAAACACAAGCTGAATACTCAATTTGTATTTGCACACAAACAATATCTTGATTATGATCATCTGAGGAGCTCCTTTTATCATCCACAGTCACGATTCCAAAAAGGTCTTCAGTTCAAATCGCCATTAATCGCAGCAGAGATCCATTATCAGGTTCCACAGCAGCAGGGATGATATGAATTAAAAAGCTGATCTTGATCCAACTCCTTTTGTTATTTAAGCGTATATATCTACATATGCAGTTCACTGCCCTGTTTTTCTTGCTGGTTGCTCACAAGACCAATGCAGTTATTTCGTAAAGGATCTAATAAGGTATTGCACCTACCTGAGGCAGGTGTAATGATGATGTATGCAGTACCATTCATTGCTAGCACCATTTTATTTAATATCTAGACTCTCTGGCTGCACCTACACTGCTAAATTGGAGTCAATTTTCAGCCAAGTCTCAGTGCTTAAGGCTGTTTCTGTCTGGAGCTTGCTGGAAACAAATAGCCAGGGAGTGAGCCAACAGTTAAGCAGGAGGAGAATCATGGCTCCAGCACTGGAACTGGCTTGTTGGTCCTCTCATTTAGCAGCATACGGATGTACCCTCTGTTTTTGTCCATTTTAACTTGACAGTCTCTGGCCTGACAAAACACCTAAACAAGCTGCCTGAACCTGCAACTTCCATGTCTTGCAAGTAGTGGGAACCCGTTCCTGTATCTCTCTTTACATGAGTTTTCCGAATTCTGCTTTTATATCAGATTGCAGCAACAACACATAGCAAAATTTACTATGGCCTGCATAACTTTAAATAGCTATGAAAAAGTCCAAACCTTTTCATATGGTTTTCTCTTCTCCATAGCCAAAGAAATCAGCAGCATTTCCAATCGACTTGGGAATATTCTTTCGCATCATTCAGGTGTGCAAGGTTAACAACAGATATCTTTAATCTCAACTAAATTTTTATACTTATAATGCTGAAATTTGGGGTAGTCATCTAGCTCTCTTTATACTCAGTGAAAAGAAACAGGCACTTCTAGGTCTTAATTCATTTAATCCTACATTAGAAATCTCAGATAGGTTAGATGAATTGTGCCCCTGAGGTTTCCTTTCACTGAGTACAAACAGAGTCTAAAAAAGATGTGTAAAGTTTGGTGAGCACTTGCCTTAAATCTGTTTTCTCTGCATTACTCCTAACTCTGGACTGGTAACAAAGTTCTGCTTAAGGGATGCCGTATGTCTTTCATAATTATACACCAGTGAAAGGCCAGATCTCTGGTTTAGCAGCTTTTCTGATTGCTTTTTTGGGCTTGTCTGCACCTGTAACTGGCAGCACATGCACAGCATGATATCCAGCACCTGCTCCCACAAGCCCAACCGGCTGGGATGTCCACTAGGAGCAATTCACTCTCTCCCCTTCTCCAAAAGCTCAAAGCCAAGATACATTGCTGTTGGCTTCCCTCTCTGATTTGGGACACTGATGTCCCCTCTTTGGAGAAACAGTGCTCAACAATGCCTGTGATAGTAACAGGCGTAGAGGACTCTGGCAGAAGTGGGTAAGAAGTGCACAAGGTGAGGTCCATGGGAGGACGCAATCAACCACTTCCCTTCTTCAAGGCACAGAGTCTGGAATCAAAATGCGTCTCATTCAGGAACATGCTTTATTTCCAGCAGAACAAAAAAGATAGCGTTGATCAGGACCAAATACATAACTGCTACATGAAGAACAGGTCTGCGTGAAACCTTTAGATAACTTTGAGGGCCTTTGATGCCCTGTTGTTCAGGAACAGCACCACCAACATACACTTCTGATGCAAGAAGGCTTCTCAGTCTCCTGACCTTACATATGTTTGTGATCCAGAGCGTGATGAATTTACAGCCCCTGCAGAATAAGTTAGCGTAACTCAATTCCCAATGTTTAAAGCAACTGCTTGCAAAAGCAAGGTAACAGTTGCCTTTCATTTATGGCTGCACCTGTTATACTGGAGGACTCTCCCAAACTTTTGACAAAAAAATGTCTTTAAGTAAGTGACTTAATGTATGGTAGCTATCTAGATTCCATCATTCAAGAGAGACTTCCTGGTGAAGCTCTAATCACTACTAGAGTTCACTTATCTTTCTAAGAAGAAAGCACTAGTCATCTTCGGATGACACTTTCTTTCAGGAGAATGAGAAATAAGGGACAGGCAAAAAGAGCTTTTTATATACTATTTTGTGAAAAACCTGAAATAAAGCCACCACACAGAACACCCAAATAAGGACCTGACAGACTGAGATTTGTTTGTTCCTTTACGTGAAGAATTTTACTCTGACTTTCCAGGAAGTTTCTCTTGTTTAGTGCAATCTAAGGATGACATAAGCAGCTGAAGTAGTCCCTTAATAAAAATCAGTTCTGCAGATTATGCTAGATTCCCAGAATCTTTAAGAATAACATTCTGTTAGGTTTTTAATTTTCATATACTCTGTCACTTTGTTAAGACTTTTATACATAATTTTTTTCTCAGAATAATAATAATTTGATACTCTTTTTATACTTTCACAATTATTTGATGTGATAGACCTGTTTACACTCAAACAAATAAACATTGCCTAATTCTTTCTTGCTACACTTCTACACATCTACCACTGCATCCATCCACTCAATAAGATAAAGATGTCATCATATGAATTTAATAAGAACTGTATTACAATAGTGGCAAAAGCATCAAAACACTGACAATTTATGCCACTGTAATATTTTGAGACCACTGCACCTATTTTTTCTAATAAAATTGATATCATTAGAGCTGTTTGTTACGTTTAGTCTTATTTTCAAGAAGAATGTTTTGCCTAAAAATTACATCATCTGTAGACTTTTATTACAGACAAAACTGCTTTTAATTATATTTAATTAGGTGTTGTTTTTCGGCTGTCTTCAAGAAAAAAGACTGCTGCTTCTACTTTTATTGTCATACACATAGGAAGATAACTACCCGCCACTGATTTTCACTCAATATGCAAATTTGATTCTTTTGGCTGTGTGGTTTCACCAGTTGCCTAACCAGCCAAACCTCACTGGAATA